GCCTGCGCGGCACCTCGCGCGCTGGGGCCAGGCTGCGCCGCCCGCCCCCGAGGCGGTGAACCGCGAGACGGGAAGATATCTGGGAAACGTGGGAAAGTGGGAGTGCAACGTTGGATAAAAGCGGTCACTCCGGGTGTTTTCACTGGCGCGGTGTTCCCGACGGGCTCGGAGCGTTTCCGGGGAGGGGCCCGTGGTGATTTTTTTGCTGCGTAATCGGTCCGGCGGAGGTTTCGCTTCTTCGGCTCCCCCGGAGCCGCCTCTGCCCCCGCTCCGACCGCGGAGCCGGAGCCGTGGCACCGCCGCCTCCCCACGGCGCTCAAGGGATACCGAGGGGAAATGTCTTCCTGCCCCGTGTAATTGCTGTTTCATCTCGTTAAAACCTTACGAAATCGTGGCAGTTTTCACATCCCTTCTCCCGCTCAATTGTTATTGAAATGTTTTAAACATTTCATCATCTCGGCTAATTTATTCCTTGCTATGTGTTTTTTGTCTGTCTGGTAATGTTGCTGTTCCAGTAAATGATCTGTATAATGAAATATTGATATCTTTATAATTTATGCATAATTTAATCTGATCATAATTATAGTGGGAAAATAGTGAAAAGATTTTTTCTTTTCCTTCCAAGACGATCCCTCTTTTGATGCTCTGTATTTCCTGCTTGGAGTTGCCATCTTCCCAAACCTTGGAAGTATCTTCTCTTGAGGAACTGACTGCAGCCTCTTGCTGACAGGCTTTCTTTGTTGTTACTATCTTACCTTCCATAAATTTTATCACAAGTTCAGGCTTTCTCTGCTTCACTTGTTATAGGGCACTAAGGTTTTTCCAAAGTTATCCATAGTGAAACTGATAAATTTACTTTGATGCCTTTATGGTCTTAATATAAATGCTTAATTTATGTTCCCCATTTGTCAGCACCTGAACTTTGCTTTATAATGCTTTATAATTGTAGAGGGGGTAGTTCCCTATTGCATTTGCGTTCTGTCCTTGCATCTTTCAAAACAGTGCAGTGGTCCTCAGAAGTTACATGGTTTATTTCTGTTACCCTTTCCTCTGTACCCAGCTTTCCAAGCCGTATTTTTTGTCAGCAATATACCCATAGAGCCAGCTTTGTTTTTTTCAGAAATGTTCATCACATCATTAATATGGATTTTAACAAGGGCCCTCACAGAATTAGGAAAATGCCCTATGAACTTTTCGTTATGAATATGTATTTACTTCTACTTCTGAATAAAATGAAACTGTTAGTTAAGTATGATGATACTTAATAGAACTGGATGTCTTAAATCATAGTCTCATTCAGGATGGATGAAGTCTCTGGTCCAGTCACCTGCTCAAAGCAGTGTCAATGCTTACTTCAGACCAGGTTCCCCAGGACTTTGTTTACTCTAAGTCCTAGAGTATCTCAGATGCAGTGGCACCCAGCCTTTCTAAACCTTGATTCTTTGCAAAGATTATTACTAGTCACTGCATATCACCACAAACCCAACTGTGATAGAGCAGCTGCAGACCTGCCATCTACACCACTGAAGGAAATAACAACAACAACAACAACAACAAAGAACCTGCTTGTAGCCGGAATCAGTGATTACAGGTTAGGCAAAAGATAGAGAATGTAGCCCACAGGTGCTGCTTTACAGCTCACATTGCATAAGCCCTGACAGGACAGTATGCTGATTGAACAGTCAAAACTAAACAACCTTTTTTAATTCTTCAAGCTGAACCAACCTACATTCTCTGAAGATCCAGACTACTCGTCCTACAGGATACTCCTTCAGTGATGAATGGGAGGGCAGGGTACAAGTTTATAATAGAGGCACACCCACATAATGGGTGCCACACACAGCCCTATCCTACACTTGGCACACTGTGCTATCTGTTCTCACCTGCCACCACCAGAACAGACAACACACTGTGAGGGGGAAGTGTTTCTGCTGCTTCAGCTGCCTGGATAGCTGATTATGGGCACAGATGAGCTCCAGATTTGGCACAAAGGGAACTAAAGAAATGGTGAAGGATGGTGGGATTGAGGAAGGAAAAGAGTCTCTAGGCAGAGGCCAGATTAAAGATTTTCCTCATGAGGGTGTAATTTGTAACAGCCTAATCATCCCAGCACTGCCCTTATTTGAGAAGTCAAAACCCTAATTCACATATAAAAATGAATAGCTTTATTGTTCGCTTCATAATCTGCTGTAACTGTGGGACAGGAGGCCAAGACAGACACAGAACACTGACAGGAAATCCTCAGCCATAGCTGCAGTGTCAGGGGTGCAGCCTTTGTGCTGGGGAGGCACAGACAAACAGCAACACCTGGAAAGCACCAAGTCAGAGAGGGAAGCTTCTAGTGCTATGGGAGAAAATGAAATGGAGCATTGGTATGGTAGCAAAGGGAGGGAAACAGTACTGTGAAACTAGGAAATATGAACAGCAGAACAAGCACACGTGATACAACAAATCAATTAACAAGAAACTTTTGATTAAACACATAAATCAGGAACAAAATCTTACAAAAGTAATAATGTCCTATTGAAGGTAGTAAAAGTACTTTCTTCCCTCAGTAAAAAATCAGAATGGCAGTATGCTCAAGCCATCACCCTGCTCTAATCCTGGAGCTGCTTCGGACCCACATTCCCATTTATTTTTCAATTAAAGTGAATGAAGAAGACAGCACTAGAGTCCAGGAAAAATGCTCATCTGATTACACTAGTGCTAAGTCAACTTTTTAATAGGGACGTTATTTCATGAGGATTATAAATCCCATGCATGGCAAGACTCAAACGTTCCCCTGCCCCTATGAGATAGTTATAAAAACCTGTCATGTTACAGAATTTAAAAAATAGAAGTAGCAGCATTCTACTAAAAATAATTGTATAGACCATTGATGCTACTGAAATACTGCAGTGAATTCAATTCTTTCTGCCAGCATCTTCCACATGCAAGGCAGCAATATAATTTATTACCTAGAGCACCAGAAAAATTGCCAGGTTCCACTCAGATGTAACAGCCAGAATGCTGTAGCTTCTACCGATTCAGCTAAAATGATTCAGAGAGACTTAGACATTTCACTGCATCAAATTTTATTGTTTTAATAAAAAAAGGATAGAACCAGATGCTACTTTTAAGTGAAATCATTTATTACACCAATCTGTTTTATAGGAGGTATATATATATTTATCATTAAGACAACTTCAATAAAATGACTATCTACAAGAAGGACTTTGATTGTTTTATTTTCATGTCACCATACATGAACAAATGAATTTTATGTCTTATTAAAACATTTTACTCCGTATCAAAAATGTACACATTTTAATAACCATTGGTATGGTCTGAAGGTATTTTTACATTTAATTCATTTAATTTAAAAAATAAGTGTAATTTCCTTGCTGTATGTGTTACAGTGTAAGCTTAACTCATCCTATACATAATAAAAGTTTGTGTATACAGATAATTTTTCATGTTGTCACATACCTTCATGTCTGAGACACAGGTGGGAAATTTGCATTTCTTTTTTTGCGGAAGGTTAAAGTACATACTGATGCGAGCACAAAGCAACATTTCTTAAAAACAAAACCAGTTTGAATGGCACAAGAGTTAGCATTTTTATAAATTAACAACCAGAGTTCTGCATTATGGAAACAGGTACATGAGATTCCAGTACTTTCCTTAGGGCTTGGCTCGCTGGAAAAAAACCTGCAAAAAGTTTTTTAAAAAAAATTAAAACAAAGGAAATGCAAGATATGGAATGCTTGAGGTATAAAGGATTAATTTTATGGAGTTCATTTTTGTGTTTAACACATTAATGGTGTGACTTGTGCTACTTTTTGTTTATGCTCACACCCTCAAATATTATCCATTCTGATATTCTCTACAATTATAGCATCACATTATTGTTTCTTCAGCTATTAAACAAAAGCCACAAGAATATCAAACTACTGACATGGCAAGGTGCTAGGAATGAGTGACAATTTTATAGATGTGGGTTTGTGGTTGTTTGCTCTGTCTTTCCAGTTAATTGTTTTGCTACTTGCAGATTCTCAATAGCTAAAAACTACTAAATAATTCAGTATTTTGGTTTTACTTAAAGTATGACTGAATGGTACAGTAAAGTTCATATGCAACTAAAAGCTATTGAAAGAAAAAAATCTTTATACCTTTAAGTAATTTTTAAAAACTTTAGCATCAGGCTGCTGAAGTGCTTGACAGAATTCCTGTAAGAGAGAACAAAGAAATAACTAAAATAACTAAGAAGTAACTAAGTGGAGCAACAAAACAACCTGAGATACATTCATATGTAAAACCATTGATATTAATTTGTATTTTCCCTAATGTACTGAAGAAAATCATGTTATGGATAAAAACTTGTAAAAGGCTATGATAGCCCAAATGCATTCTAGGGTAAAAAACAATTTGTCTGGTGTGTTTTTTTTTTTTCAAATACAGTATATCTCATTCACTTTTAGCTGAGGAGACAGAAATAGGACTATCTACAAGGATATCTTCAAGTTAAAGTTTGAATTAAAGTAGGAAGATTGTTTAGACAGTTACATGCACTGGACTTTTTTTTTTTTTTTTTGCAAGGTACTCTTGCAGTATTTTTACTCCTTATGATGAATTAATCCTTTTCTCATATGCAATAACTAAGTAAATTTTACTGTGGGATGAAAGGAGGTTAACGTTTTAAATATCCTTTTCTCCCCATTTAACACTTATGATTGTTGAAGAGTTTTCCAAATAATCTTTTAGGAACTCCTACCTGGATTATCTCAGGAGCTACTTGCAAAGAAGGCAAATACTCTTGCTGAAGATACTGAATGCACTCAGGACCCTAAAGAAAACCAATACACATTTTTTTCATGCATATTTTTTTACAGATGGAAAAATCATAGCCCTATACTGTATGGTGGTCTACATCATCATTTTACAGAAAATAAATACTTTTCAAATGTTTAAGTTATTCTCAGCTGGTAGCAAAGAAAAAGATTTCTCAATCTCGGGATTAAAGGTTCTACTGCGATTTGGTATCTTTTAGTACACAGAAGAAATTGCACTAAAAATTGCACTGAAGTAAGAATTAAAATAGAGCCAAACTGTTACATGTCAACTGTAAGAGATAGTTAATTATGTCAGCACTAATTTCACTATCTGACATTTGGAATAAATAAAATAATTGGGTATTAGCATCTGCCTACTGCTTTACCATACTACTTCCATTGCAAAATTCAGTAGCCAAGTGCAGATGAACACAGTACTTCTCCTCTTGTAACACTATGTAATTTGCAGTGAACTTAGTAGTAATAAAATTGAATGTCCAAACCTTTGAGCAAAACAAACATTTTGATTAACACTTCAGTTTTTGTTTTTTTTACCTACATTCATCAGATAACTTTCAGCACTTTACTAATTCACGCAAGTTACCCTGGAACAGCAACAAAGTGAGCAGATTTTTCTCCTTAATGACGAGTCAGTATTTTGCATTAGTTTATCAAAAGGTAGAACTACTGGACTCAGTATCAATGCACAGCATTATAATCATCTTGTTAGTATCTAACACTTGGAAATTGATAAAACCCACTAGAAAGAAACCTGGGACAATTATTCCCTTTGAAGTATGATGAAACTTACCCTTTTGAGATGAATTGTTTTTAATGTCACTGCACATTCTGATAAAGCCTGAAATGTAGTGCAGAATATTTAGACTGTTGAATTGGTCTACTGGTTCACTATTCAAATCTAAAGACCCTAATGAGACCCAAAACAAGGACTAGTTCATGCCATTATCCCT